ACTGATATACACCTGGACATCAGCAGGAGAGGACTCTTTAAAGTAGAGACACTACATACTGATATACACCTGAACATCAGCAGGAGAGGACTCTTTAAAGTAGAGACACTACATACTGATATACACCTGAACATCAGCAGGAGAGGACTCTTAAAGTAGAGACACTACATACTGATATATACCTGAACATCAGCAGGAGAGGAACTCTTTAAAGTAGAGACACTACATACTGATATACACCTGAACATCAGCAGGAGAGGACTCTTTAAAGTAGAGACACTACATACTGAATAACTCTGACATCAGCAGGAGAGGACTCTTTAAAGTAGAGACACTACATACTGATATACACCTGACATCAGCAGGAGAGACTCTTTAAAGTAGAGACAACTACATACTGATATACACCTGAACATCAGCAGGAGAGGACTCTTTAAAGTAGAGACACTACATACTGATATACACCTGAACATCAGCAGGAGAGGACTCATTTAAAGTAGGAGACCACTACATTACTGATATATACCTGAACATCAGCAGGAGATGACTCTTTAAAGTAGAGGACACTTACATACTGATCTACACCTGAACAATCAGCAGGAGAGGACTCTTTTTTTCTTAAAGTAGTAGAGACACTACATACTGATATATACCTGAACATCAGCAGGAGAGACTCTTTACAAGTAGAGGACACTACATACTGATATCACCTGAACATCAGCAGGAGAGGACTCTTTAAAGTAGAGTCACCTAATACTGATATACACTCTGAACATCAGCAGATGAGGAACTCTTTAAGTAGAGACCATTACATTAACTGATAATACCACCTGAACATCAGCAGGAGAGGAATCGTCTTTAAAGTAGAGACCACTACATTCTGATAATTACACCTGCACATCAGCAGGAGAGAACTCTTTAAAGTAGAGACAACCTACATACTGATATACACCTGAAACATCAGCAGGAAGAGAAACTCTTTAAAGTAGAGACACTACATATGATATACACCTGAACATCAGCAGGAGAGGAATCTTTAAAGTAGAGAATACATACTGATACACCTGAAACATCAGCAGGAGAGGACTCTTTAAAGTAGAGAACACTAATACTGATATATACCTGAACATCAGCAGGAGAGGACTCTTTAAAGTAGAGACACACATACTGATAATACACCTGAACATCAGCAGGAGAGGACTCTTTAAAGTAGAGACATACAGATATATACCTGACATCAGCAGGAGAGGACTCTTTAAAGTAGAGACCACATACTGATATACCTGAACATCAGCAGGAGAGGACTCTTTAAGTAGAGACACTACATACTGATTATACCTGAACATCAGCAGGAGAGGACTCTTTAAAGTAGAGACACTACATAGGATATACACCTGAAACATCAGCAGGAGAGGACTCTTTAAAGTAGAGACACTACATACTGATATACAGTGAACATCAGCAGGAGAGAACTCTTTAAAAGTAGAGACACTACATACTGATAAAACCTGAACATCAGCACGGAGAGAACTCTTTTAAAGTAGAGACACTACATACTGATATACACCTGAACATCAGCAGGAGAGGACTCTTTAAAGTAGAGACACTACATACTGAATACACCTGAACTTCAGCAGGAGAGGACTCTTAAAGTAGCGACACTACATACTGATATATACCTGAACATCAGCAGGAGAGGACTCTTTAAAGTAGAGACACTACATACTGATATACACACTCTCAACATCAGCAGGAGAGGACTCTTTAAAGTAGAGACATACATACTGATATATACTGAACATCAGCAGGAGAGGACTCTTTAAAGTAGAGACACTACATACTGATATACACCTGACATCAGCAGGAGAGGACTCTTTAAAGTAGAGACACTACATACTGAATATACCTGAACATCAGCAGGAGAGGACTCTTTAAAGTAGAAACACTACATACTGATTACACCTGGACATCAGCAGGAGAGGACTCTTTAAAGTAGAGACACCACATACTGATATACACCTGAACATCAGCAGGAGAGGACCTTTAAAGTAGAGAGACACTAATACTGATATACACCTGAACATCAGCAGGAGAGGACTCTTTAAAGTAGAGACACTACATACTGATATATACCTGAACATCAGCAGGAGAGGACTCTTTAAAGTAGAGACACTACATACTGATATACACCTGAACATCAGCAGGAGAGGACTTTTAAAGTAGAGACACTAATTACTGATATACACCTGAACATCAGCAGGAGAGGAACTCTTTAAAGTAGAGACACTACATACTGATATACACCTGAACATCAGCAGGAGAGGAACTCTTTAAAGTAGAGACACTACATACTGATATACACCTGAACATCAGCAGGAGAGGGACTCTTTAAAGTAGAGACACTATACTGATATACACGCTGAACATCAGCAGGAGAGGACTCTTAAAGTAGAGACACTACATACTGATATATACCTGAACATCAGCAGGAGAGGACTCTTTTAAAGTAGAGACACTACATACTGATATACACCTGAACATCAGCAGGAGAGGACTCTTAAAGTAGAGACACTACATACTGATATATACCTGAACATCAGCAGGAGAGGACTCTTTAAAGTAGAGACAACTACATACTGATATACACCTGAAATCAGCAGGAGAGGACTCTTTAAAGTAGAGTCACTACATACTGATATACACCTGAACATCAGCAGGAGAGAACTCTTTAAAGTAGAGACACTACATACTGATATACACGAACATCAGCGAGAGGGAACTCTTTAAAGTAGAGACACTACATACTGATATACACCTGAACATCAGCAGGAGAGGACTCTTTAAAGTAGAGACATACATCTGATATACACCTGAACATCAGCAGGAGAGGACTCTTTAAAGTAGAGACAC